GTAGAGGGATAGAGAGAGAAATAGAGAGGGAAAGAAATACAGGAGATGGGTAGGAAGAGAGAGAGAGTAGGTAGGTTGGTAGGTAGAGGGATAGAGAGAAAGAAAGAGAGAGAGAGAGAGAGAAATACAGTAGATAGGTAGGAAGAGAGGGAGAGCAAGTAGGTAGGTATGTAGGTAGATAGAGGGGGGGAGAGAAATACAGTAGATCTGTAGGGGGAGAGAGAGTAGGTAGGTAGGGAGAGGGAGAGGGAGAGGGAGAGGGAGAGAGAGAGAGAGAGAGAGAGAAATACAGTAGATAGGTAGGAAGAGAGGGAGAGCAAGTAGGTAGGTATGTAGGTAGATAGAGGGGGGGAGAGAAATACAGTAGATCTGTAGGGGGAGAGAGAGTAGGTAGGTAGGGAGAGGGAGAGGGAGAGGGAGAGGGAGAGAGAGAGAGAGAGAGAGAGAAATACAGTAGATAGGTAGGAAGAGAGGGAGAGCAAGTAGGTAGGTATGTAGGTAGATAGAGGGGGGGAGAGAAATACAGTAGATCTGTAGGGGGAGAGAGAGTAGGTAGGTAGGGAGAGGGAGAGGGAGAGGGAGAGGGAGAGAGAGAGAGAGAGAGAGAGAAATACAGTAGGTAGGGAGAGAAAGAGAGTAGGTAGGGAGGGAGGGAGAGGGAGAGAGAGAAAGAGAAAGAGAGAGAAATACAGAAGGTAGGTAGGGAGAGAAAGAGAGTAGGTAGGTAGGTAGATAGATGCTTCCAGGTATCCATGTGCTGGAAAAGGAAGTCGCTGACAATCTGCAGCACCTTAGACTTTGTTTCTGCTGGCACAGCATTTGATCAATGTAATTCTCACCAATCAGTTCAAGAGCGTTGCAAAAGGAAAAATATTTAAGAGGGTCCAAAAATATTCACTCCAAAGAATCAAGCAAGTCCAAATTGCTTGGCTTGGTTCTAATGGGTTCTTTAATATTATCGCTTCCCAAATCAGAATTGTCCCAAAGGTCCTTTTTCAAGAAGCAACTGGACTTTCTGTTTTTTCTTTGAAGCTTCTCATCCATCTCTCAGAGCTGAAGAAGTTTCTTGGATGAGAAGCGAAACATCTTCAAAGAAAAACCAGAAAAACCAGTTGCCTTTTGAAACAAATGACTTTGGGGGACAACCATGACCTGGATGACTGAGAATCTCCACTGGCAAATTCCTCTGAATCTGAACAGCCTGTCCATGACTGACTGTGTATATTTACCATATGTAACGGTCTCACCTCTTATTTTTAGTGAACAAATTAAGGAAACATCCAACAGGCAAACCATATTGTTCTGTTCACTGCTGTTCAAAATACAGTTGAAATATAATGGTGGATCAGCTAGGGGGAACTAAGAGGTAAATGCAAGGAATTCAGCTTGATTTGCCTTGATAAGGAAGTGCTTCATAGAAGTAAAATGAAGCAATATGTGAAAGAACCATCATATAGGCAAAAGGCGCTGAAACATTTTTAAGCCCTAGAAAAGAAGATAATACAGATAGTCCTTGATTTATGACTACAATTGAACCAGGGGTGGGTTTCAACCGGTTCGCACCGGTCCCTGCAATCCGGTTGGTCGCCGAACCCGGAAGTAAGTAACTTCCGGGAACGGCGAAGCCCCCCCCCCACGCCCGCGCGCGCCCGCACACCCGTGCCCGCTCCTTACCCGGTTTTCACGAATTCTGCGCTTCCACGCATGCGCAGAACGCATACAGCGCCTGCGCGATCCTCCAGCAGCAGCTGGAGCATCGCGCAGATGCTAGTACGCATGCGCGCGCCGCACGCGCGCGCGAGGACNGTTCCTATTTTTCTACTTGCATTTTTACATGCTTTCAAACTGCGAGGTTGGCAGAAGCTGGAACAAGAAATGGGAGCTCACTCCATTACACGGTGCTAGGGATTCAAACTGCCGAATTGCCGACATTTCTGATCGACAAGCTCAGCGTCTTAGCCACCGCATCCCCCAAACCATTTGCATTTTATTGCAAAAACTATCCAAATGAAGTCATGAAGCCATCAGAAGGTCAGCTTGACCTCAAGGAGACCCACTTATTTGTACCTACCACATTTAGTAATCTAAAGGCCCTGGGAAGGAATCTTATTAAATCCTTATTATTATACCCTGATAACAACTCTGAGATGTGGAAACTTTCCAAATCACACACTGAGATAGATATATCCCCTTTTCTCTCTCTCTCTCTACTTTCCTTGCTAATGAATCTATCCACGGTTTTACTAAATGATATTTTTATTGCATAGTAAACCATTCTCTTTTCAGGGACCCATTTATCCTTCAAAGTAAGACTGGTGTTTGTTTTAACAAGTGTTCTTCTTTTACTTTAAAGAAACTTGCTGGAATCAAGTCTGAAAAGTTCCTACAATATTGCTGTCTCTGTTCACAACTGTTCTTCTCCCCCTCCCACTTCCGATAATTAAATGAAAACAAGCTTGAACATCACAATTAGTGGAGGAAGTAGTGGAAGAAGAGGAAAAAGAAAAGGTGACCTAAGTTATCTGACTAAGAACCTCTGGGCCAATCATTCCCAATCTAGTAAGTTCTAGGTGAGTGGACTTCTACCCCTAGTATTCTCAATGTCTGTGCTGGCTGTGGAATTCTGGGAATTGAAGTTCAGTCTCCTTGAAATTGTCAAAGTTGGGAAGCATTGTCCTGAATCTTTCATTTCCCATTCAGATTGTGCCAAGGAAAACACTGATCTTGACCAATGGCTGTTCCACATTTGCATTGTTAAATCAAAGAAACAGAATTGGAAGGAACCATGGAGGCCTTCAAGCCCAACTCCTGTTCTGAGCAGAATCAAATTTTAGAAGAACCACAGAGGTGGTATTCAGACAATTCGGATCGCTTTGGGCTAACCGGCAGCAGAAATTTTCGGAGAACCGGCAACTAACATCTCTGGCTGGCCCCACTCTTCTGCCCCTATCATTCCCTGCCCTATATTCCCTTCTTTTTTAGCTCAGCTGACTCTTCTTTTTCACATGGCAAAGCGTATTGCCGCAACTCAGGTGAGCTAAAACACAGCATTGACACCAAGGGCAGTCTTTGAATGCTGTGTGAGCACAGCACGCAAGGAACGCTCTATAGAACCCGTAGGAAAAGATTTTGATTCCCATCACTGAGAAGAACTGCATTAGTCAAAAATCAGGCATCTGATAGCATCAAACCAATTTTATTAAAAGTAAACTGTTTTTCTGTCAGAGTTTTGGCAGCATGGCTATTATTATGAGATAAACCCCAAGAGCAAAACCCAGCACACGGCACACAGAGCCTTTATACAATTAATAGTGGTTTATATACAAATATATACGGACATATACATGGAGATAAATCCCTTACCACTCAGCTACAAACACAAGGAGAGAAATGAGACACATGATGAGAGAGAGAAACGCCCTCTAATGGCCACCTCTTAAAAAGGTAAATGACTTGTGTGGACCCTACCAGAGTCTTAAAAAATCATCCTTATTGCATCAGCTTACAGTTTACAGCTTACAACCTTACATCAGCTGGCAGCTATTAAATACTCATTACCTGACATTTTCTTTTTTAAAAAAATCCAAGTTCAGATATCCTTTAAAAATATTCAGGAAAAAAAAAGAAATCCACTTTCTGGGGTAATTGGTGCCACTGTTCAACTGCTTTTTTAAAAAGAATGTTTTCCCCAACGTTCAATCAGAATCTGCTTTCCTGTAACTTAAATCCATGATCCTCTCTATCCATTATCCAGGAATGGTGGAGAACAAGTCTTGACCTTTCTGTAATATACTTTTAAGTATTTAAACAGCACTGTCCAAATTCTTCTCATTGTTCTTGTTTCAAGTCTCACGATTATGGTCTTTATGGTCTTCCATCTCTTTACCACCCAGAGTTCCTCTCAGAGAGAGACAGGAAGTTGAGAAATATGAAATATCAATTAATTAATTGATTAATTAATAACTCTGATCATCTTTGGTGCCTTTCTCCAAATATCTTTCAATTTCTCTGAAATTTCTCTTAAAGTATGGTGTCCAGAAATGAACCCAATACTTGAGAAGGGATCTGCCCATAGAAAAAGAAAAAGGAATGAGTACATTTGGAGACTGGAAACTCTTTGATAAAGCTACAAACTTTAAAAAAACACGCCCATAGTTATCAGATAGATAGATAGATAGATAGATAGATAGATAGATAGATAGATAGATAGATAGATAGATAGATAGATAGATAGATAGATAGATAGATAGATAGNCACACTGGGAACAGGCTCCAGCTGTTCCTCTGCCTCACTGCTGTCTAGCTCCAAAGACAGCTGAGAACTGCTAGACTGCCTTGGCCCCATCTCTGCCTCCAATGCAGAGCCCTCATATGAGCCTTCCCCAGACTCCAGGACTGGCCCATGTTCCTCCCCAACCACCTCACTGTCCGACTCTGCTGCCAGCTCCGCTGGCCACTGGCAGGCCACAACAGTGCCTGCTTGAGTGTTTGTGCTGCTAATGAAAAATCCAATCCCTATGCAAGGAGCAATTTGGGAACAAAAGGTTATTGGCCTCACTCTAGATCAGGAATGTCCAAACTTGGACTTCAACTCCCAGAATTCACCAACCACAAGTATTAAAGTTTTCAGAATTGGACACCCCTGATTTAGATCAACACACACACATAACACTCTCCACCTGACAACTTTCCTTAAATTTTAAAAATCAAACGTGGTATGACTGTTCACCACCCAGAGTCATTCATTTGAGATGGGTGGCTTTAAAATTGAATGAACGAATGAATGAACGAATGAATGAATGAACAAATGAATGAATGAGGCTGTTGAAATTACCTATAATTCATGCCAAATTTTAGCATTGTGGTCTGGTGGTCCTTAAATGTTTGCTGGGGGTCAAATGTTTGCAAATCTCAGGTCATAGGCTGCCCATTCTTGCTACAAGCAGGTTTGGGATTGTGTGAACTCAACTACAAAGTAGGTACATCATGAGTTATAATTTAGGATAAACCATTTATGGGTTATTTAAACATATCAATGACATATCAATGAGGTTTACAAACATGTGTGTGAATGGAAAGGAGAAGATCAGAAACACTAAAGGAACTTTCCCATTTGCAGTAGATATGTTCTTTTCATCACAAATTACAGCAAACACCTAATTTTGGCTGAGCTCAACATATTAAGCAGGTTGGGATGGATTGGTACTTTTATGGGAGACCACCAGGCTTCTCATTAGATCAGGGAGTTGTTAAAGCTTACTGGACAGCATTGTCTGCCATGATGGGGTTGGGGAATAATGAAAAACAAGACAGTGTTCAGGACAAATGCATCCCTTTATCAATGTGCATTGTCAATGCCAGTGTAACTACGACAGGGATGAGTCTTCCTTTTGCTGCTACACCTGTCATCTTGCCCTTTTGGATATCTTGGATATGGGCAATGGCAAACCCTTTGTAAGGTAAAGGTTAAGATTCCCCTCGCACATATGTGCTAGTCGTTCCCGATTCTAAGGGGTGGTGCTCATCTCCGTTTCAAAGCCAAAGTGACAGCTCTGTCCAAAGACGTCTCTGTGGTCATGACTCAACGCCGAAGGCGCACGGAACGCTGTTACCTCCCCACCAAAGGTAGTTCCTATTTTTCTACTTGCATTTTTACATGCTTTCAAACTGCGAGGTTGGCAGAAGCTGGAACAAGAAATGGGAGCTCACTCCATTACACGGTGNAATCAGGCTTGTCAGATGTTACATCTTTTCTATTCTGCTCTACGGAGTAAAGAGATGATCTCTGACAGAAAACCACTTGAAGAAACTAGAAACATCTGAAATGTGGATTTACAGATGGCTGTTACGTATAAACTGGGTTGACAAAATCAGAAATGAGGAGGTGATAAGCTACCTGGGAAAGCATTGAGGAATCACCAAAGGCATTCAAAAATGAAAGTTAGAATATTTTGGACATGTGATGCGACCCCCAGAAAAATATGGCATTCTTCACTTAATCCTCCAGGGAAAGACTGAAGGCAAATGAGGTACAGGCAGAAGAAACCTAAGGGGTTTGGACAAAACTCAGCAGCACTTTTTCATGTGACTGTTGACAAAAATAGGATTTCCAACATCCGATGAGGGAAATGGCATAAGAAGAAGAAGTATAGATCTATTTCAAGCTATTTAGCTCTCGTCAGTTAGTCATATGTCCTTCTGGGATTCGAACCCCGGCTGCTTACATATTAGGTAGATGTATTAACCTCTAAGCCACAGGCTCTCCTAGCTTTGTCAGCTATACCAAGGATGAGATTGTTTTTTTTATCAGCGCAACCTGGTCTATCCAAATATGGGACAGAGCGTACGGCTTCCACTTTCGCCTTTCATCCTCAATCCAGCCTTTGCAGGCAGTCACTTTTGTGACTCAGTCTTGGGCTTTCTCTAAGAAGGACATATATGCTTATAAATAAATACATATATACCCTTCATTTTATAAATCATATTTTGGAAAGAAAATAAAAACTTCCAGGGGAAGTATATTGCGGTGGCACCACAGATGATAGCTCTTAATTCCAAGTCATAGAAAAATTAGCTTTTCCAATAAGTTCCTCCTGTCAGTTTATGCCCAAAGCCATGCTGGCTGAGCATGATTGGGATTGTAGTCCAGTGCATCCTGGACACCAGAATGGAGAAGACTGATGAGGACCAACCCAGATTTTGGGCTGTGTGCTATGCAATGTTTATTTAGCCATGGTTTCCCTGAATTTAGCCATGCTTCCACTGGATTCAGGCTATAAATCAAAGATGGACTACCTCTCACACTACCTCTGAGGAATCATATGCTGTAATGAGGAATCATATGGTATAATGAGGAATCATATACTATAATGAGGAATCATATGCTATAATGCAGACTCCTGCTCTTTCACAGATTTGCAGATACCTGCAAAGAAAGGGATAGGCCTGACTTTTTGGCCTATTTTTTCTTTTGGGAGGAGTGTCATGCCACACCATATAACTTTATATACTGTGGTTGCCCTCTAGCCCCATCTAGTGCCATAGAGACAAATATGCCCCAAGTATATTGTTTTGAAGCTGACCCAACCCATTTTGCTCATCAGCCCACACTCTCAAACCAAGAGCACGCTGGGAAACCAGACTCCACTTGGAGAAGGCAAAAGCACATGGCCATCCAAGGACAAACCCACATCCCACACACAGAGCATCGCTGGTGAGATTTAAATTGCTTGTATTTATTAATTGTTATGTTCAGCAGTAACTTAATACTGTCTACCTTGTATTTGGTTCTCATTGTATGTATCCCTATTTTCCCCAGTTTCACCATATCCTGTTCTTCCAATAAAGCATTCAGATCTGCACACATGGTCTCTTTTATTGGAGGAGAGGTGAGTTAAGCTGCATGTCAAGCTGCACACAGACTAACGTGCAGTGGAGACAGAACAAGGAGAGGTTTTGGGTTGGTTGTTTCTCAAATTTCTCTAGTTAAAATTCCCATCCTAATCACACCAAAGGACACTGAGAAAGAAACTGATGTCTCCCTCATCCTTAAAAATCCCTATTTACTCTCAAATATCGTGGCATCTAAACTTAGCAATTTCACCGGTCAATTTTGATACTCAGATCTTGGTGGCTACAGTCTTGGTTGCCCAAACCTTCCAAAAAACACTGTTAAAAATTGTGGGTGCATTTTAAGCTTGGTGGTTTTCTTGCAGATGTTTCATTACCAAATTAGATAACATCATCAGTGTTAAAAGGAGAAGTTTGTGTGTCTGCTAAGTCATATCTAAAGAAATCACATTATATATTAATGAGTTTGTCAAATTGGGCCATAAATATTCTCCAGATATATAATAACAACAAGACACACACAAATATAACATATATTTTGGGTCTGGTTTTTGGATTCTAGATTCATTATTACTCAAAAGAACTACCTCAAGCCACGGATCAAACACACAATACACAACCACTTTAAAATCTTCATGGGGCTAGGTTATTATTTACAATATGGCAACAGAGGGAAATATTAAATCTATTAAGAATAAACTTTTGAACTGTGTTTCATGAAATTTAAAATTAAAATTAGATTTTGTTGTGATCCTGACTGATTATTTAACCAAGCACTGCGTGACTTCTTTGGTATTTAGATCTTAGAAGAACTTTGAAATGCCAGGTGCATCACTTCACCCAACACAGTAGTTGAATATCATTGATTTATAACTTCCATTCATGTATTTTTCTGCAAATTTAGTGTGCATTGCTAGAACTGTTGATACCTGCATGGAAAGCTAAAGAGAGTTGCAGGAGACTAATTCCTGTGGAAGTGCGGCAGCATCTACAAAGGTGCTAGTACGATTTGTAAAGTAAGCTCAAGATTATTTCATTATCCAGAGTCCTATTGTGGCCTGCTAGTGGAGCTGGTGGCAGACTCAGAGAATGAGGAGGTTAGGGAAGAACACAGGTCAGTCCTGGAGTCTGGGGAAGGCTCTGATGAGTGCTTTGTGTCAGAGGCAGAGATGGGGTCAAGGTCGTCAGTTATCAGCTGCCTTCGGAGTCAGGATATCAGTAGGGCAGAAGAAAAGCTGGAGCCTGTTCCCAATGTGTGCATGCACAGAGCTGCCAGGAGAAGGGTACAGCCAAGGAACAAGGACTGACTCGGGAGTAAAGGCACAGGTGAGTGGTGAATGGCCCCTCCTGTAGGGAATAAAGAGCAGCGAAAGGAGAGAGGAATTTGCAGGAGATGATTAGTTCAATTCATTAGGGTGAAGATCTGTTCCAGACTTCTTGCCAAGTAATTGCTGCTACAGCATGGTGTTTGGAAGATATTGGCCTGGCAACACTCCAAGCCTGATAAAGGTCTGTAGCTGTGAATTCTCATGAAAGACTGTTTGCCCGGACTTTGCTGGAGAGGAATTCCCTTTAATCTAAATAAAAGAGGTTTTATTGGGATGGGAAGTCTGCTTCATGCTCTAGGAAAGCCTACATCAGAACAAGTCCTGAATCCTGTGCACATGTGAAGCCTTTCAGATCTTTCCTGTTTCTGGTTCACTTCTCCTTGCATA